TACCAATGGTTTTTCCTGCAGTCACGTGTTGTGACAGTGGTAAATACAAACAGAGCTTGAAGTAATGTAACTGACATATAAGTCCATGTTAAATCATTAGCACATTGATGTATATCAGTGCAGAATATTATAAAATACTTTCACATTTTACTCGGGTTTATTTATTAGATTAATTTACTTCAGTATAACAACGGCTGATGTTATGTAGCATCCATTAATAGGTCGTTGTTATTTTTAGTAACAAATCGGTAATCATGCGGAGGAAAATTGGTGACAAATTCCACTGAGAAACTTTATTAAAACATCGGTCCGAACAGCATACACCAGAACTGGATTCGAACCAGGTGCCTCAAAATGGAAATAAGTCACATTATCTCTGCACCATTGAGACTGATGAAAAAGTTAAGACAGAAGACCTGAAGGGAGGAACAAACAAAGGTTTTTTTTCTAATAGTAAACGAAATAATTTGCATAAACATTAATAGTTCCCCCCTATTGTTTAAAACAGACAAAGATGTTTGAAATTTAGTTATGCCTAAGTCCATCTAAATGAACATTAGCCCAAAGACAAATGTCCCGGTGCTGAATGGTGTGGAAAGCAATAAATGTGTCTACAACCCAAACAATTACCGTCTATTAACGTGACCCAAAACATTAAATTAGGTCCCCATAATCGATACAAACAACATTTATTAGACAGTGGTTATAATGAATTCCAGGCAAGGAAAGTGCCTTGCATTTGTTCATCAGTTAAGAAAAGTTCAGTGAACAGATCGATTCGCTAGATTCATTAAATCGAGAGTCGTGTGTTTCGAGCTACCCTCATGGCTGACAAAGGTAATAAAGACTATAACTGCGTGTACCAATGTACTTATTTATGATCCTGAATTATTTGTGCTCTTATGTTTATTGTAACGATTTAGAAATACACCCGAAGCTTCAATTATATACAATCAAAATAGGAATGCATTTACCGTGTTACCCCTTTGTTCAAAGCAGTTGTACCCGTAATTTAGGGTCACGTTGGACGTAGGAAAAGGGTAAACTGGTTTGGAAACTTGGATCCAATATTAGGGTTGACAGTTTGCTCTACCATCTGCCATGCGCTCACATTCGGAGCTGGTATATTATGAAAATTATTCAATTCCAACCAGCAATTAGGAAGTAATTATCTCGGTTTGAAATCGGAAAACATCGGTAAGAAATTTGCATCAGAAACGCTTTCTGAAAATGGACAATCCTGTAGATGTCATTTTAAAACGTTGAGTACATGACAAACAGCACTTGCTATAAATCGCATCAATTATCTATGTTACGTAAGGGCTTCTTGCGAGAAACTCCCCTTTAAGCTATAATATTAAAAAGCATCTATATGGTACCTCGCTGCTACTTTATAACTCTATCGAGCTTACCTCTCTTTGAGAATCTAATAGTATTGCATCTAGGCAAGAAATTTCATGTGCTTAGTTTGTCAAATGTGAATTTCCATGTGCACAAGGGACAGACTTCGCTGTTATCATTTTTTTTATTATAAACACAAAAAAGAATTGCCCAAAACCAAAACAGTAACAGTAAGCATTACACCAATAATTTCCTAAATAAATAATTGTATTAAGACCTAGTATTCAAGGAAAAATATAGACATAACATTAAATATAATTAAACGTTCATGAAATAACGTCAATTAGAACCATGACATTACTTTTTTCTCACTGACAGCTCAATATTTGTGCAGTTTATAATATTAATATTTTTACCTCACGTTCCTATACGAGTAAATACAATTTTATATCTAGTTCGCGTGCTGCCTGTTTGCACCCACAAGCAACTATGAAGAAGGGATTTTTACGAAACATTACAGACCACTTCGCCTTCATACTTTTTAACTTTTTTCCATAATTAATAAAAACACAGCGACAATATTTTATATACTAACACTTCGCCTTCATACTTTTTAACTTTTGCCATAATTAATAAAAACACAGCGAAAATATTTACTATACTACAATAAAACTTATATTAACACACGGTATATTATAAACATTTTAATGTTAATTTTACCTTTAGAATTGTTTGCAAACTGTGTATATTTTTTGATCTGCAATAAGTCTCTTTAATTGCAGGAGGGAAGTGTTAGGCAGATGAGCAGACATGTATGTTTGTAAGATGTGTTCAAAGCAACCTAAATGTCAGAGGCTGAAAAATATATGTCTTCTGGGTTACATCGCCCTGTAATTTGGTAGAAGTTTACCAACGTTTTAGATGACTAATCGCCCTGATTATGGAGGCAGCAAGGACCTCTGAAACGTCTACCATTCTATAAGGTGCAAGAACCCAGAAGACAGTCATTTTCGGACTCACAGCTGTAAAAACCTCAAATCTTACATTTACACGTGACTTATTTGAATATTCGCGGAACAAAAGAATATACGATGGTGTAGCATTTCCAGTAAGAGCAAGGCGAAGTTACGTATTTCACAGTAATTAAGTCATAAAACGTGTGAGACCAGGCACCATATCAAATTCTCAGGTTAATATGCAGAGAAGGTAATCCGAAACAATATGGAACAAAAGATTAAGCACATTTTGTGTTTTTATAGCCTTATGATGTCACTGCACTGAATGCAGAATAATTATAAATTTACATCTGAGCGGTCACTGTTTTGAATTCATGCTCCATGTACACCTGTTCATGAGGTTGGATTTATAGCCTCAAATTTTATATAAACTTCTAACACATTAATCATATAGTAATTACAATATTTTATCTGTTCCCATCATAATTAGTTTCTGGAATATTATGTCTCATTTTGCTAGTATGATAATAAAATGTAGTTTGTATATCTTATATTTTTACTGAATGAGAAGTTTTGATTAAAAATCACTAATTAGTTCCTTCCCTTCAAATTATGAGCTTAAAAGTAATAAGTAGGCCTATACTCTTTACTGATGCATTTATGTGTACATTTTAAGTTAGTACACATTAATATTATGGTAGGATAAATCCATAGAATTTATTTATATAACAATACGATCTTGACCTAAGGAGAGGTGTAGCGTAGGTACATGAGGAACTTCGCGGTCAAGTGTTTAACATTTCGGCTACATATTCGGGAGGTCTCAGATTCAAATTTAAGGTTTTTATCAGTCCCTCCAGGAAAAGTCCGGGATAGTATCTCGACATTGGGTCATAAATATTTCCTTTCCATCAATTTTTTACTAATCATCTTATCATATTACGCCATATAATTTGAGATACTGTGTCATTAACTTCATAAATAGACTTACAAAATATTTATCTAAATACCTGCAGGACAAAGACTACTTGTTACTTCGTGATGTATATAAGAGATTAAATAATATTAAAATGTATCGTGGGGAAATAGGTTGTGGGATGTAATTTTGAATAAACTGTCTTAGGATAGGGTTGCTGATAACACTTAATGAACTTTCAGATTCCATAATAAAACATTAAATTTCTTGGACCAGCTGAACAAGTATCGAAATAGGCTACAAACGTTTACGAAAATATATTAGGCTATGTACGCAAAGAAACAGCAAATACCCATCCTATTTTCATTATTCATAATATGAAGAAAGTAATTATGACAGTTTATGAAATGTAAATTATGTTCATTTTATTGGTAGGTCCGGGTTTTTATTTTAACAATAAAAAATATCAGTTGTAACTATTGAAACTTACAGAAATAGACATCCAGGGAATATTAAGTATGACGTAGTTCGTCTTAAGAAAAACTCATGCAAATTTTCATGAAAGGCACATTTTTAGGGCAACTACGCCAATACTTGATACATGATGTTCTTCAAATTTTAGTTACACGAGAGACTAAAGTGTCTTAATTGTTTTAACTAACTTTTTATTTTAATAATTGCTTCTTAAATTACGCCCATTACATACTACTAACACAATGATAACTGAATGTAGCCTACAACGTGCCTGAAAAAAATCGAATTTTCTCCACAGATTGTATTAATGGCTTTCATATGATTTTCAAAACAAACAATGAATAGTACCTTAAATACTGATTATTGGTAAAAGTAAAGTAAAGTTTGTCCCACTATACGCCATGTAGGCGCTTGGGGGGAGTGGAGGTATAGCTCCTCTCTTCCTTGACCCCGGCACTAGATGGGGGTGAGTGGTCAGCATCACGCGCCGGCCGGCTTTACCCCCGGGAAAGGACCCCGGTACCCATTGTAGAGGAGGCTGGGTGGGCCCCAGAGCCGGTCTGGACGCAGAGGCTAGAGGAAAAATCCTCTGCCCTCGTCGGGGATCGAACCCCGGTCGTCCAGCCCGTAGCTAGTCACTATACTGACTGAGCTATCCCGGCTCACTGATTATTGGTACAAAATAAAAATTAGAAAGTATGTCTGTTTGAAAACGGTGTTCCATTTAGTGCACTCAAGTTAATGCACTTACAAAGAACACGACACACCCTGCTAGTCGCTCGTCTCATAAATTTGATATTACTTCGTTGGAACAAGAGTTATAATCCCTTTTTAAATATAATTATTTCAGGATTTTGTTTTGCAAGGGCAAAATTTCGAAAACTTCTCTTAAAAATATATGACAGGAAGAATTTATTCAACATTCAAAATCACAGACATTTGACTCTGTTTTAAACGTACTTTAATTTATTAACTTATAAAATATTTTTGAAGAAATACATATTTTTCTGTAATATAAGTTTGATGTACTTTTTCCAGAAGTTATTTCTTCTAACAACCAGTCACACATACCCACTATATTTTAACGTTTCTAAACAATTTAAAGAATTACCATTAAAACATTACTACAAAATTTTTCTTTCTTATAAAATCAAGATAACAATCCAGACTAAGATTCTAAAGGAATTAAATATCTAATTTTATTGATAATTATCCACGAACACAGGCTGTAACTCAGTAAACTAAACAATAATACGGGTATGTTCCAGCACGAATACTAATACTTTTGAGGCGTAATGTTATGACGGCTTGTCTAGCCTAGGAACAGAAGCTTCTTCAACTTCTTCTTCTTGAGGACTGTGCCGGACAAATCAGTCGGTGAGTAGTTGGAGCCGACATCAGGGTCCGTCGGGTCAGCGTCTGAGGGCAGACATATCGCCACACTGACGATCACCAGAAGTAAAAGAATCACCTGAAAGCACCAGTTTTATGATTTTCTGTATCATCCTTAGCGTAAGTTGGAACAGGGAAGAAATATTCTATTTTTAGTTATGGGACTTAAATTTGTGTAGCAAGAGAACAGTGCTTTTGAAGACTAAAGCCCGCAAAAACACGGTTTAAGACTGGCAGAGTTTTCTGTAGTGGGAACTGACCTCAGTAAATAAATTAATGAATCGTCCTCAAACTAAGACACCGAGCGAGATGCAACATTTGACTAGTATAAAACAGCGTCCTTTCTAATTACTTTCGTACACTTTCACTGTGAGGTATTCACGGCGGTAAAGATGTCAAGTGTGGACATCCCTAGAGGAGAATCGTTCGTCCAAAACGATAATAATCGCCTACAAGACTCGAAACAGAAGACCACAATCGATTATCTTAATTTTTCTATAGTTTTTCACAGACATTCAGGTTATTTTCAGAAACTGATGCATTGTTATAAGATAATCATCAAAATGTCTGTAACATAGCCCTTCAGAGACCGGCGGTAAATATATATATAATCTGTTCTAACAATCAGTATTTTGCCCACACAGTGTATTTAAATATAGGTTTCATTAAATTATTATAACAAACAGCTGTTATTTGCCAAAACAGAATTAATCAATTTATCTCTGTAATGGAGAATATAGTTGCGTTTTCTCTGAATTAAAAACTTAATTAATAGATATTAATTAAACAAGCTTCATTTCAAATGGTTAAAGGTAACAATTATACAAATATTAAATTCGGAATTATTCATTGTGAGGTATATCTTGTATACATGCCATTTAGTAAGTTGGCTGTAATCGCGTTTCCAGGTCGTTCGTTGTCATTATATTGACAGAAATGTAATAACTATCTTGCTAATGATTACTGGGATTCCGATGGAAAGTGTCCTCTCTCATTATTATGTTTCTACATACAATTACAGCTCTCTGTGTGTTTTAGTTAGTATCTGAAGAACATTATTCACAAAACAACAATTTGCTCTTACGATAAGTTTATGCTAACAATTCTTCAAATTATGCTTTTTATTTAAATAAAATTTGTCTCTTAAATCCACGTTACGTTATCTCTTGTTACCAGGCATGACGTGTCTCCAGATTTAGAATAGAGCCGGCCTCCAGAGTGGTAGATAAGACGTAATCGTGAATACACTGAATAAGCAGTCGCAGACAGCTGACAAGGGGTGATTCTTAGACGTGGCTGAGGGACACAGGCTCACAACTCGTGACCGTAACAAAAGACTAGGACGCATTACGAAATTTTACATGGAGCCTACGACTGGTCGAAACTGTAATACTTACACAAAGGAAAATGGTCAAGGATAATATTAAAATGAATCTTATAAAGTAAGGTTTCTAGCTGTGAATTAGGTTGTTCTGGTCAAAGACAAGGATATTTAGCGGGTTCTTGAGACCACAAAATCAAATATCTTTCACAAACATTAATAATAATAATAATAATAATCTCAATTTGTGACAAATTTGCAACACGAATAGAAATCATTCCTCTGACAATCTGTAAGCGACATCTCACGCTAACCCATGAATCAAAGTGACTAATTGTTTGATTACAAACTTAACATTAATTAAATATGACATAAACAATATGTAGAACTGGAAATCTATGTAACAGGAAAGTAGGTTTTAAAGTTCTGAGCGGAACTACTCCCGCGAGCCTGTGGTGATGGTAGTAGTACAAATCTGTGATACTAATGTGTTAGTGGTGATATTGTGGGTTGTTTTAACGCACTGGGTAAAATTAAAACAAACATTAAGGGGACCTTAGAAGAAATGCATTAACACACGGTACAGGACTTTGCTGTTACGTTAACAAAGTTATTTTTGTTATTGTATATTTATTTATTATTAGATTATTTAACAAAACTCATTGCAGGATCTTCTGAGAAAGATGAACTTTCGGGTTCTATAAAACGCAAAGAATTTTTTATCAAGATGAGTGTACTCAATTTCTCAATGACTCTGGACTTATTATGGGGTTGTTTAACAACGCTTTGAGTATCCCAGATTATTTGTGTGTTGATTGATAAGAAAGTCTTAAGTTAATAGGGATTACGTTTGAATAAGCTATTCTAACCAAGTCAAGTGATACGCTGATTCGTTATTAAAGATTTAGGAAGGATGTGAAAGACAGCGGTCGTGGCCTATTTTAAGACACTAGCCGATAATTTGCCTGCAGGGTCTAAGGAAAAGAAGGATAATCATCTGCATAGCCAGATTCTGGGTCAGGAATTTCTTGTCGTAGAATGTGTAATTGAGTGTATAGTTATAGAAATCATGGAGCCACAGAACACTTACCAGTTGATACTTCATTGTAGGCTGTTCTTCCAGTCTTCAGTTTGAAATGAATGACGCCAGCTGCTGTGTATATCCGGTATATATATATGCCCATTTAGAATACGTACGCTTTCACTAGTGCAGTCAACGAAGTTCGGACAAAAATAAACACTTGCATTTTCGAAATATTTCGTCCTACTGCGAAGTACTTTATGGAGTGTCAGCACACTTGCATTTTCGAAATATTTCGTCCCACTGCGAAGTATTTTATGGAGTGTCAGCCCTTGTGCAATAAGCTTCGCTGCTCAAAACTTTTGACCACATAACCGAAAATAAATATCACGAAAGTCGCTTCAGGTTATTTGTTCATCGTGTTTATGTCTTGAAAAGTCGCTTTATACAGAGCGTTCCAAACAAACCCTCGCTTTTCCCTTAAGTCTTGACATTATGAAACCGATATATTTAAATTACAATAAACAAACGTAGTTTAAAAGCTCCCATAAATGTTGCAATACTTTACCAGAGAAGCTTAAACATTGATAATATTTATTTATTTTACAATGCTTTTTCAGTAGCTCTTACTATATAGCGTTGAATGAGAGGATGTCAGTTAATTGGAAAGGATGTGGGAGGAAACGGTCGTAACCTGATTTAAGCTACTATCTCGAAATTTGCCTGGAGGGACTGAGGAAAACCACGAAACGTCTCAGTCTCCAGGCCGAGATTTGAACCTTGGACCTCTAGAATATGAAGCAGAAGTGTCAACCACTATTAAAATAAGTTAAAATATAGATGTATTTTAAAAAATACATGTATATTGATACATTTGATGTTTGGTTATGTTATATCCAACTGAAGTAAAAATAGAAAGTCCTTGTGACTTTTCCTTGACTCAGTAGTATATTTTAAAACTAGTATGTGTCTGGAGGTTATAGATAATTTTCAAGCGATTAGAGCATTCTAAATATAAGTCAGAATAAATGTAATGGTATCGAAGGTTACCACGATACCAAAAATGTCTCATCATAATTTCTAAGTTATTCTAACAAAGGCCTACGGACACCTAGAGGTTAGTGAAATGATAGTTATATTCAATACAAGGCTATAAGAATGCTTATGGTAATTAACACCATAAACATGCAACATTTAAAACATAAATATAACTTAAAAATATGTAATAGTTTACGATGTTCGGAATAAACCTCGTGTAATTTTTACCCGGTGTATGTCAAAATACGTAACAATGACGTCACTAAAATAATTACAAACTTTAATCACTGACCTTATTTATTTGATACATGGTAAGAACAGCTTAAGTCCATACAAGTTACTTTAGACTTAAAGTCTTCTTATACAACACAAAATATAAAATGTTGTCTACTTATTATTTGTGTAAAACGACACTAGATTAATTTAATTTTTGACAAACACATTTGAAGTGGAATAAGTATAGTAGATTTTGAAAATGAAACAAGAATGCTTATTAATCATCAGGCTAGAGCAGGAAACGGTTCAGGAGAACAGCTTGACCCTTAATAATACACCATTAACAAAAAGTTGTTTTAGAAGCTCGCCAATTAATGTGGATGGGAGTCTATGAACCTGTTTCCGTTTTGTCACCTGCTAGTTGATCTAACGAAACCAGTCTGCTAGTTAACATGAGCTTGCTTATACTAAATCAAAGCAATCGTTCGGCCAAGCGACTGTTCTTGTACGTTTTCCACAAATTACAGTATCGTCTTAGTATTAAGGCTCAATTAGATACCACATTTATGTCGAGAATTAATATTTTAGTTTAATAGTTTTCGAGAATTTTTTGTAGATATATTTTAGCTGTGCCATAATTACTAAGGCGAATCCATGTGAGTATAAAAATTTAAGAGGTGAAGTAATACTATGTAGGTCTAGTATAAGATTTAACATGCATGTCATAAAATTTACAAGTAAATTATTTTAAATTAATGTTCCTTAGAATAAGGTTCAGTGAAGGAATCTGTTAATTGCAGTATTCAAAGTTATGCATCCATAACGGGAGGGTAATTTATAGATAAAGTCTGCTACTATTAGCGTATCTGCAATGAATACACAGACTGCCATATTTATTTCGTCACAAATATGCCATTATCACGAAGATAATTAAGATTCGCAATGCACAACCATCATTCAGTTTATTGGTTTAATATATATAAATATTGTACAAAGCAGTTTAAGCTAATAAGGTTGTTTAGTTCCGAAAGATGTATTACAGGGCTTGAAAGCAAGACTGGGGGAGATGTAGTAAAGTAGCGATCGTACCTTGCTGAATGATTATGTAGCGTGGACGAACTGAAGAAAACCACGCAACGCCTCAGAATATTTGATCCACAAGTGACATACAAACTGGATATTCTCGAATTTGAATTACGGGCTTTACAGCTAACGCATAGAATGCTATTTCATTCGATTCCCGGACGCGACATTTTAATAAATTTTAACAACAAATTAATTTCAGTTTCTACCTCATTTAACTTAAAGCAACTTCCCTTTACATTGTAAAAAAAAAGACTGTTCGACTTCAAAGGTTCGAGAACGTTAGCTATCCAAATATTAAGCAAAAAAAAAGGTCTAAAATAAATTATTTACAAAGATATAAGCCTACGTGTTCCAAAAAAGTCATCTTAAAACCCAACACAGGGCACGTGAACTCATTTAAAAAAAGGTCTAAAATAAATTATTTACAACGATATAAGCCTACGTGTTCCACAAAAGTCATCTTAAAATCCAACACAGGGCACGTGGACTCATTTAGAACAGCGATTCATAGACTCGCTTAATATAAGGATCAGATGACGTAATTAAAATGGTTCGTGGACCCCCCATAACTTATAAAATGACTTAAAATGTGATTTAGCCATTCATAAAGCAATAATTATAACCAAGGCTTCTTAATGATATCGAAGAGGTACTTTTTGAATTGTAACTTTGTAATTTAATGTAGCGTTTTCGTATAAATTTATGTGTAATCTAATGAGACTATTAGCCTCCGGAGAAATCTTCGCGATCCCATGCAGGGTCGTGGCTTTCGCTTTGGAAAACGCTGGTTTGGAATATATAATGTAAAAAAAATGTAATTTATTCTCCGAGGAAAAATCATTACATATTCTGATAAGTGTATACATTTCGACAAATTATTAGGTATTCTGCGAACAAATGATTAAAATTATCATGTCCATATTGACGTTTGTCCGAGTTTCTACTTTCGAAACCTAAAACGCGCGAATACAAAAGAGTAATGGAAGTCAGGCAGAAATATAAAACACAACTAATTGCGAAACGTCCATTCAGAAAACTGATAAAATTCCAAATTTAAGATTACATTCTCCAGCGCACTAAAACTGTACATCAACCATGAAAAATTTTAATCATTTGCAGGTCAACGGTAACCATGTGTACCATTTACTTTACATTCATAACACTTCATGTACCTTGCAGTATCTGTATACGTTTCAGTTGGTTATCAAATTAAGAGCAAATGTCTTCTTAATTATCATTAAGATATACTGATAAGCTATTTATATTTGTAACGACAAAGTGTGTTTTCTTTTAAATATTATTTGAATAAATGAGGTTAATTTGTCTTTTGTGCTTAACTAAACAACACGCGTTATAGAAATACGGAGGAACAGCTCCACACATTCATAACCAAGGCACTAGATTGAAGTACTGAGATACATATAAATTTAATAGCACGTTATAACAACACTATTTTTATCATAAAATAAGGGAAAGACAAAGTATGATAAACCATCTTCGTATTTCGAAACATCAACCTGGCTGGAGGAGTTACTGCAGAAAACAGGTGTCCCAAAATATTCCCAGCTGTAAGAAGGTGAGATCGTGTGGTATCAACAATACCATCTTGATGTCGAGGTCTATCTTGGCAAAAGTTTTCCCGACCTGTGGATATATAGGACGCAGAGGATCTGTTGACTACCCCCTACGATCGTCAGATTTAACCCCAGCTGACTTCTTCTTGTGGGGTTACCGAAGAACGCGGTGTCCAGCACAAGGCAAGCAAAACCTCAAGAGCTCCGACAGAAATTGAACGGTCTTGCGCAGTCCCTGCAGCAAGTTTGGTGGTTAATTGTCAGTCGGTGGCTCACCGCTGTCGACTGTGCAACGAAGCTGACGGTGGTTATTTTAAATACCTGCACTAGATTCGCTAATTCACAAAGTGCCAATGCGGACGTATGTAATGGTTTAGTTTTTTTAAATGTCTTTATTTAATTCATTAAATTTGTGTGTACATATTTCTGGGACAACGGCACTTGTATAATTGATGCCAGTCATACATTTTACGTAACCAGAACGGGGATAATATTACTACCTGCTTCCAATATACTAACGTGTTAGGGACTACAGAGCAGGTTCAGTGTAGTTACATGGTGATGGACTATCGCCGTTGAATTTACACAGACGATAGCATCCCGCTGGGGCGGACCAGTAAATTTTATCTTAACGGGTTCCCCCCCCCAATTTATGTTGCTCAGAAAGCAGGCTTATTGGTGCTTGTGGTTTATGTAGCTACAAGCTGTGTTTTGATGGAACTGGATTTATCAGGGGAGCTCTCTGGAAGTCGAATGTTAAAAAGAAATGTTCTGGAAGAAGTGCACTAATACCAGCGACAAATGACAGTCATTGTGTTCATACTTGTCACCGGCTACCGGTACAAGTCCTGAGACACTCGGTTTCAGTGGCGTTACATACAGTCAGTGGTGGACCGAAGAGCGGAAAATTAGGTGAGATTTCAGGTTCTCACGGCGACCTGTATAAAAATGACTGTATTCTGGGATGTTGCGTTGCCTAATCTGGTAGAAATCGACCAGAGTTTCAAAAGTACTGTCTTTGTCAGGTGATATGATAGATGCAGTCAACTCTTCTGAAACGTCGGTTAATTTTTTTTCCAAACTAAACGCCACAGTAGAAGACAGTCATCAACAGAAAATTTATTAACCAATCTCAGTAGTGATATGGTTGTTAGTCGCTGACTTTTCATCGTAGATTCCCAGGTTTGACCTCGCGTTAGTTCATGTTAGATTTTTGGTGGATAAAACAACACTGAAATAGGTTTTTACCAACAGGGGTCTGT